AGATAGATAGATAGATAGATAGATAGATAGATAGATAGATAGATAGATAGATAGAATACATGATAAAGAGATAATAGAGATAGATGATAGATAGATAGATAGATAGATAGATAGATAGATAGATAGATAGATAGAATACATGATAAAGAGATAATAGAGATAGATGATAGATAGATAGATAGATAGATAGATAGATAGATAGATAGATAGATATAGATAGATAGATAGATAGAATACATGATAAAGAGATAATAGAGATAGATGATAGATAGATAGATAGATAGATAGATAGATAGATAGATATAGATAGATAGATAGATAGATAGAATACATGATAAAGAGATAATAGAGATAGATGATAGATAGATAGATAGATAGATAGATAGATAGATAGATAGATAGATAGATAGATAGATAGATAGATAGATGATAGATAGATAGATAGATAGATAGATAGTGTCAACGATCCTACTGTGGTCAGAATTCCCTGGCACTAATGCATCCCTTTTGATGTGTATATCCATTGATGTGCTTACTCTTTTATAATCCCTTCCTCTGCAATCTTTCTGCTATAGGAGGTAGGAGGAGGAAAAAAGGCATGGCTGGCTGGGGAATTCTGGGAGTTGAAGCCCATAAGTCTTAAAGTTGCTGGGTTTGAAGACCCCTGCTGTAGAGCGAGGCTTCCCACCACCGGACACTGCATTCCTTTTGACCTGTATAGCCATTGATGTGCTTACTCTCTTATAATCCCTTCCTCTGCAATCTTTCTGCTATAGGAGGTAGGAGGAGGAAAATAGCATGGCTGGCTAGGGAATTCTGGGCGTTGAAGCTTGAGAAAACCCAACGTTAGGTCTCCCTTTCCCACCCCCCTGAAGTGATTTTGCGTTTCTCTCGACAGGAGCAGAAGCAGCTCGCCTACTTCATCCGCCAGGAGAAGGCGGAAATCACGGAGGAGAACTTCCACGAAGTGGTGCAATTCGGCTCCGTGCGCAAACCCTACATCGATTCCCTGACGCGCATGCTCAACGCGGTCTACTTGCCCCGCCTCTTCCGCAAAGGCTCCTGGCCCGAAAGCATAAAAAACGAAATTTTCTCCGAAATTTACCATTTCATGACCTCCCTGACAGGTAGGGATTCTGTAGTTCTTCCGATTGGATCACCCTCCGGTGACAACCTAGGCCAGGGGTAGGCAACCTTGGCTCTTTTATGACTCGTGGACGTCAACTCCCAGAATTCCTGAGCCCGCAGGATGCGTCTACCCGTCGATGTGCTTACTCTCTTACAATCCCTTCCTCTGCAATCTTTCTGCTATAGGAGGTAGAAGGGGGGGGGAAAAAGGCATGGCTGGCTCAGGAATTCTGGGAGTTGAAGTCCACGAGTCCTAAAAGAGCCAAGGTTGCCTACCCCTTGACCTAGGTGCTTTTTCCCAGACTGGGGTTGCCACGCCCAATTTTATGACCGCTCTTAACAGTGGTCGTTAAACGAATCAGTGCGGTTATTAACTCAACCGGGCGCTTGCCAGCGGCCTGAATTTCGATCATGTGATCGTGGGGTGGTTGTTTTTTTTGCCACGACGGTCGTAAGAGCGAGCACTGGTTTGTCTGTCGCTGTTTCCGGTGCCGTTGTAACTTCAAACGGTCACTAAACAGATAGTCGTAACTCGAGGACCTACCTGTGGGCATTTCAGCTGAGGAATGAGAACCGGGGGGGTCCCCAGGGGAAGCCCCGAGGTCTGTCCTCCCTCGGAAAGGAACAGAAACCCTAATCCCCAGCCTTCTCTGCCCGCAGATACTCGCTACAAGATGAAGGGCCGCACCGTCCTTTACATCCCGATTGAGTCGCGCTCCATCAGCGCCGAGGTGGCCCTGAAGGACAAAGCCCTGGTTCAACGCCTGGAGAGTGAGTGAGGGGTCTTGGGGGGGGCTGGGCTGGGCGAGGGGGGACGCTAAGCGGGCCAGAGGAGAAGCAGGAGGCCTGGAGAATAAAACCTACGAAGAACGGCTGCGGGATTTAGGTTTGGGCAGTGTAAAGAAAAGAAGAAATAGGGGAGACATGATAGCAGCGTTCCAGTATTTGGGGGGGCTACCACAAAGAAGAGGGGGGGTCACATTATTCAGCAGAGCACCAGAGGGAAGGGCGAGAAAAAATGGATGGAAACTGATCAAGGAGAAAAGCAACCTGGAATTCAGGAGAAACTTCCTAACAGTGAGGACAATTAACCAGTGGAACAGCTTGCCACCAGAAATCGTGGGTGCTCCATTACTGGAGGTTTTTAAGAAGAGACTGGACTGCCCCTTGTCTCAAATGGTATGGGGGTCTCCTGCTTGAGCGGAGGAGGGCTGGACTAGAAGACCTCTAAGGTCCCTTCCAGCTCGATTCCATTCCATTCCATTCCATATATTCTATTCTATTCTATTCTATTCTATTCTATTCTATTCTATTCTATAGTTTGGAGAAGGGAGGGAGGGAGGGAGTAAAGAAGGAAGGAGTGAAGGAAGGAAAAAGAAAGAAAGAAAGAAAGAAAGAAAGAAAGAAAGAAAGAAAGAAAAGAAAGAAAGAAAGAAAGAAAGAAAGATGGAGTGAAACGGAGGAAGCGAGGGAAGGAAGAAGGAAGAAAGAAAGAAAGAAAGAAAGAAAAGAGAAAGAAAGAAAGAAAGAAAGGGAAAGAAAGAAAGAGAGAAAGAAAGAAAGAAAGAAAAAGAAAGAAAGAAAGAAAGAGAAAGAAAGAAAGAAAAAAAGAAAGAAAGAAAAAGAAAGAAACAAAGAAAAAGAAAGAAAGAAAGAAAGAAAGAAAGAAAGAAAGAAAGAAAGAAAGAAAGAAAAAGAAAGAGTGGGAGGGAGGGAGGGAGGGAAGGAGGAAGGAAGGAAGGGAGACAGGAGGGAGGGAGGGAGAAGGAGGGAGGGAAGGAGGAAAGGTGGACAAGAGGGAGAGGGAAGAAGGAAGGAAGGAAGGAAGAGAGGGAGCGAGGGAAGGATGAAGGAAGGAAGACAAGAGGGAGGAAGGAAGTAGCTTTTGAAGGGTCTGCCGTAACTTCAACCGTCATTAAGCGAGGACTACCTGTGCAAATAGTCCTCAACGTAGGACCGCAACCGAACCCAACCTGGATGTTGTTAAGGGAGAAATCTGTTAAGGGAGTTTTGCCCCCGTTTACGACTTTCCTCACCCTGGCTGTTAAGTGAATCACCGCAGTTCTTCAATGAGGAACACGGTTGCCAAGGGAACGACTGCAGTCGCTAAGCGAATCAGGCGGTCGTTAAGTGAATCCTGCAGTCCCACATTCCCTTGGCTTGTTGGAGCCCCCACTGGGAAGGTCCCAAACGGGGATCACTTGACACCCCCTCCCAGGACACTGGTTGCGGTCATAAATCCATGCCGGTTGCCCCCCGGCCTGAGTTTCGATCACCTGACCCTGGGAGACGCTGCGGCGGTTGCGAGTGCGAGGGCTTCCCGTAAGTCCCTTTTCTTTTTTTCCGTTGCCGTCGCAACTTTGAACGGCTGCTAAGCGAACAGTCGTTAAGTCGAGGACCGCCTGTCCATCGGGGTTCGGACTTCTAGAATTATCACGGGGCGGACAAAGGGGGTCCCCAGATTGGGGGGGTGAGCTGAGGGGGCATCAGCACTTCCCCCCCATCTCTTTTATCCCCCGAATTGCCCCTCTGGGTTTTGAGCGCCCCGGCTTAAGCGCCCCCTCCCGTTTTGGGGTGATGCCCCCCAGCCTGAGGGGGGTCTTTGGGCTGCCCCGCCCCTCCCCCTGGCCTGCGCCGGGGGT